GTAATTAGAGATTTTCATGACAAAGTAATATTGATATAATGACAACATTAAAAAAAAAAACATCACAAAAATGATAAAAATAAAAAAACTGAAAAATATTTCAGTCGCTACAGTTGTAGATACATGATTAACATATAAAATTGTCTGTTCCGAAAACCATTTATTTAGACGGTACAATGTATACAGTCTGTGTTGCGTGTTAAACTGATCTATTTCCTTTAAATTCATTCGTTTTTAAGTATTCAGAAAGAAGAAAAATGATATTTCAAGCACCTGTTGATCATCACACAAAGAAAAAAAAAGAGCCTGAAGTCTCGTATATGTCATATAACCATGGTATATAGCTGGAAGATGAGGATAATGACTGTATTTAGTTATATAAATATCGGTACAGACATATAAATGTTTTATTATGTCGTGTGTATTGAGGTCACACGGTTTTATGATAAATTTTCTAGCCGTGTAAGTAATATGATGTTTTTATGGACAATTTTCCAGACTAATCGCTGTTTATCTGGATATGGTATTGTTCTATTTCTTATTTGAACGTATACAGGAAACTCCTCCTTTTCTTTGGGGGGGGGGGGGGGGGGGGGGCATGACAACCTGAAGTCTCTTCATCATTTAGAAAAACTGTCTGTCATTTTCGATTTAAATAGATTTTTTTAATTCGTGTCAAAAAATAAATAGAATATGTCTTTTTCATATTTCTTGTACTTCAACTCATGAGACGAAAGAGCATAACTTGTTGTAAATTGTTAGAAAATGAAATTAAAAATTTAAAGAAATGTTTATTAATAAACGTTAAAATACGATTAAATAATGAATATTGAATGTAAACTTTAGTATGCAGGCATATGATGGCATTCCTCTTTTGTCTGTACCCACATTGCTCAATTTTTGTTTTGTTTTTTCATTTGAGAAAATACGTTTTAAACTCTATTTTTTTTAATTGTGTTTCATCTTGTAAACTTCCGTCGTTGTCTTACTAGTGTTTTTGGTGTCTCTTTAAAGATATTCACGTGATCACATCAAAAAAGAGAATCTGTCTTGCAGTTTGTCGTCCCTGTTCTCTGTTTACCAAGATCTCTTTTGGTAATGTGATATTATTTACTTAAATTGACGTTCTACACGGTGTGGTCATTTAATCAATACGCTTACTCTTCAGGAGCACCTGGTCTTATAATTCCTGTACTTTGTCGGATGTAGCTGTGTAAATCATAATCTCGTTCCAGTTTTACGATTGTTTACCGGATATGTGCCTGAATTAAGATTCTGTTCTGATGTCAGTTTTGAGTTTTATTTGCCTTTACGAGGTAATCAACAATACCGTTGTAGGCTTATTAAAATATTTTCCTCGGGAACACAGACTAGTTAATGCATTCTGTCGTGAGATGGATGAGATAACTTTGATGGCAATGCTGTTCATGATGTTAAAGAGGCAGACGTTTGTTCATTGGTATTGATCAAACATTTCATTTCATAAAATGAACAAATCTGGAAGTAGAATACACTATGAAATAATGAGAGTTGAAATCCTTGTACGCGTGTACAAGGAAACCAAAGAAAAATATTGTAAATTCTAGATAAAGTTATCTTTCTCTAAACAAAGTGATGATATTCCGATCAGTTACTCTTAAAATCTTAAATTTCTATTAAGTTTATTTTTAAAATCAATGTAGGAGAATATTTATCTTAAGATAACCAAGCCATTGTATGGTGTGCTTCCTATAGAATGCAGCCGGTAGTGAATGTCGCTTGTGGTAGAATTATAAAATCAATTCCCATTATTGGTAATGCTCTCTCCGTGCATTCAGACACTGGTAGTGTTCATTGTATTAATACAGCGACTGCCTAGTGCTTACTGCCCCCTATCGACCTTCCTGTACGATTAATAGTCAAATCGATTCACGTATTTTTCATTGTTAAATCAATGTCCAAAGTTGCTTAGTATTACTCACATGCTACCGGGATTCTTAATTGAAGTCACTGTTTAGGAAGCAAAGATTTAAAAAAAAACAAAAAAAAACAAATGAATGCTAACTTCCGATGCAAATTTACAATTATACACAGTAAAGCTAAATTAAGAATTCAGTGGAATCATACACCTGTTTCGCCCTACTAGGACTCGTTAGATGTATAACATCATACACGTTTCATCCTTCTACGACTCTTCAGTGATGTTACATCATACACCTGTTTCGTCCTACTAGGACTCGTCAGTGATGCTACATCATACAGCAGTTCCGTCCTACTAGGACTCATCAGTGATACTACATCATACAGCTGTTTCGTCCTTCTAGGACCCGTCAGTGATGCTACATCATACAACTGTTTCGTCCTTCTAGGACTCGTCAGTAATATTACATCAAACACCGGTTTCGTCCCACTAGGGCTCTTCAGTGATGCAATGGGTCTGATTTCTTTAAACGTAGGAGACGATTGAGAGAAATCTGAATTACTCAAAGAAAATGTCGAACTTTAGACAGGATACGAAATAAACTTACTATGATAATCAATGCATTCCTTAAACCATCCACACAACATTTAGCTCAGCTCTTTCCTTTTCGTGACATGAAACGAGTGTGATGTTGTTTACAAGGTACATCTCATTTCAACCAATATCGATTTTCTGAGGTTAAATACTTGGTTGAACACCTCAAACACTGAGTGTGTTTTTCATGTAAAAGGTACTGTGTTGTGCTGTTCTTGATTGGCATTTTGTCTGATGTTGGTAGGGTGTGTGGTGTTATAAAATGTTTTAATCACGATTCCATATCATTGTATTCTTTAGAGTGCATTTCAGTCCTTAATGATCTTAGCTCTCAGCTCACACAGATATTTTATTATTTAGGACCTACGGTACAGTTTGTCTATATATCATATTTACAAGAAGCAAAAATTATCAAATTCGCCTTGACGTTTAATTTCTGTAATTCTATAAAAAAAAAAGGAGATTTTTTTTATCGTATACTACCTAAAAACAGTGATAATAGTTATATAGTATTATTCTGCATTGAAATCGACTAAAATGTGTATCAGATATTCACTGCCCACACGGATTGCATGAAATCGATCTAACAATATATAAGATATTTACTGCCCACACGGATTGCATGAAATCGATCTAACAATATATCAGATATTCACTGCCCACACGGATTGCAAGAAATCGATCTAACAATATATCAGTTCTTTACTGCCCACACGGATGGTATGAAATCGATCTAACAATATATCAGTTATTTACTGCCCACACGGACTGCATGAAATCGATCTAACAATATATCAGTTCTTTACTGCCCACACGGATGGTATGAAATCGATCTAACAATATATCAGTTATTTACTGCCCACACGGATGGTATGAAATCGATCTAACAATATATCAGTTATTTACTGCCCACACGGATGGTATGAAATCGATCTAACAATATATCAGATATTCACTGCCCACACGGACTGCATGAAATCAATCTAACAATATATCAGTTATTTACTGCCCACACGGACTGCATGCAATCAATCTAACAATATATCAGATATTCACTGCCCACACGGATTGCATGAAATCGATCTAACAATATATCAGATATTCACTGCCCACACGGATGGTATGAAATCGATCTAACAATATATCAGTTATTTACTGCCCACACGGACTGCATGAAATCAATCTAACAATATATCAGATATTCACTGCCCACACGGATGGTATGAAATCGATCTAACAATATATCAGTTATTTACTGCCCACACGGACTGCATGCAATCAATCTAACAATATATCAGATATTCACTGCCCACACGGATTGCATGAAATCGATCTAACAATATATCAGATATTCACTGCCCACACGGACTGCATGCAATCGATCTAACAATATATCAGATATTTGCTGCCCACACGGACTGCATGAAATCGATCTAACAATATATCAGATATTCACTGCCCACACGGATTGCATGAAATCGATCTAACAATATATCAGTTATTTACTGCCCACACGGATTGCATGAAATCGATCTAACAATATATCAGTTATTTACTGCACACGGATAGCATGACAAAACTATCTGAATGAAACACGTTTGTTATTGTGACATGTAATCAAACAATACCGTCTCCTCGTATCGTTTTCCGATCGAGACTGAAATTCCTAATCAGAAATCTATTTATCGGAGAGTTTACAGATATGTATGACGATATGAAATGTGGCATCCGTCTCTCAATTTAGCGTTGCATCAAATATTCATTCTATGAACATCGTAGAAATTGTTATATAAATCCACATAGCTCGTGATTGAAATTGGACCCGTATCTGTGAGCGTCGTTTTTATCATGCTGGAGATTTGTTTTTCTGCCGCTGTTCTATTTTTCAACCTGATCAGTTGTTCTACTAGTGTTTCGTATGCCCACGTGGTATGGTGTATCTCTGTGTTGAATGTAGGAAACGGACGACGAAACCAAACGTGAAAATTCTTGTCCTTTTCTCGTGTTTTTCTTCCGATCAGACAGATAGGGGTTTATCACAACGACAAAATTTTCTTATAACTTGTCTGGATTCTACTTGATTTGTTGCTACAATTTTGAAACTTTTTATATCGTTTTGTGAAAAGGTTACAGAAAGTAACTATCATTCTGCACAAATGTTCGTTGTTGTGGCAGTGAAATTATTTGTTTGTTTTAACCAACGACAGAAAAATTTCATGTTGTTCAGAAACCATTTTTTTTGGTGAAATTTGTATCAATATATTGCAGTAAGCCGTTCTTCAATCTTGATGACGTCACAAATGATTGACGCACATTAAGATGGAAATCACGACGCACGTGGAATATTTTTCGCAAATGATTATAAACATGTTGCCCTGGTTCCTGTAATACAAAATAATGTATTATGAATTTGGTTCCCCAACTTTAAACATATATAGAAATACTATAACAAAGAATTATGACAATTTAATGTCTTTTATTAATTGTTGTAAATTTTATTCTTCAGGGATGGAGATAAAGGAAACATTCTCGACAACCTTTTGTCCCGAATGGAGCAGTACGCGAACAACCTAGAGGCTTTAGTTGAGGAACGTACCTCGGATTACTTAGAACAGAAGAAAAAAGCCGAGGATCTCCTGTATATGATGTTGCCCAAGTAAGAGCTTTGTTCCATTCGTCTTTTGTAATAATTCATCTGAAACGGTATTACAGGAAGGATAAGGAAAACGAACATACCCCCACCCACCCACCCCCCCCCCAACCCTCCCCCCACCGCCCACCCCCTCAAAAAAAGAAAAACACAAAATAAAAATTAAAAAAAAAGGAAAAAATAATAAAAAAAAAACATAACAAGCAATTCCTCCAAAAATATCAATAGATAAATGAGTAAATAAACGAAGTAACGAATATTTATCTAAAGTTTTCATTTTCAACATTTTTATTGAAAAAGACATTGAAAAGTCAATATGTCCACTTGAATAAATATAGAGGGATATATCTACTCAAAACCCTGATTTCAACAGAAAACTTGTTTAATTAATTACCAAATTTTACTTGAAATACGTTAATAACAAACGAAACTTTCAAAACCGTGTTCGACGTTTTTTACAGGACAATGCATAAAGAATGTTTTGTTTTCTGTGATATTATTATATTCTTTCCACACGCATGAACTTTTATTTAACATAATTTTGGTTTATTTTAGAAACTTTATATAGGAATATAGGAATTATATAAGAATAATATAACGTTATGTAATAATATATGTACCCAGTGTTGTATTGTAATGTGTTTTATGTTAAGGGACCAGAGTGGAAAGAAGTTCACAGACTTTACTGTCTTATCCTGGTTAAAACAGGAATTATTTTACAATACATGTATGTGTATGTATGTAATATAATGTATGTTTTACCAAATAAATCTATCTTTCTATATGCCCCAATTATCGTCCTTATAGTAGACATGTATTTTTGCCAATGTGATTATGATAAATGGTTGGTGTAACAGGAATTGAAAATTTACTGGTAGGCTATTAGCCATTGCGGTTTCCTGTAACCTACAAGCCACTTTTAAATCCATTTGGAAAGTAGCGCGGATTAGAATATACATGTATACTTGACATCCATCTGAAATTATTAGATATATGAAATCTACAATAACTACTGAGTTATAGAGTTAATGGACCTCACCATCTAAATATTTAACATTTCTTTTGGTCACTTTGGATTTTAATCAGTCACTTCCTAGGCTTCAAAATTAAGGTTCTCATCATCCCTGACGAATTCTAGAAAGACAAAACACCCGTATAGTGCAGTTTGATTCCTTGTTTGAACCTAATGTAATTTACTCAAAGTTTGTATAGAATGATGTCAATGAGTGCTTGCAAACATTAACTGTAGCCTTGTAACGTAAAACGACTGCCATGATTTATACGGAGACTTTCTGTGAAACTTTAATGAGTCATGACTACTGTTCACCGAATTCTGAGAAACTGTAACACATTTTTATTTCACAAACAAACCTACAACGCCAGAATAGACGTTATATAAACTGACTGGGTAAAGACAACTGGTGATCTGAATTATTCAAATGTGACGGTCGGCATTCACACCTCTCTGCCTATAAATCGACCATGTCTGGGTCGTTCTACACAGCACACAAACACCACATAACTGTCTACAGCTTCATCAGCTCTCTAAATCGTGCCGCTCATTTTTCTAATCTAAATATTTTTCATCACATTCTTTATCATACAAATTATTTTTCTTATATAAATCCCTAAACTTCGTGTGATATTAATGGTGATTTTAGTTTTCTTTTAAATGTTCAGTTTCTTTTGTAACAATTGCTATGAAGTATGACTAAATTGGTTTAGCATGACTATGCTAGTAGGGTAAACGTCTGGGTTTATTTAGGTTAACCAATGATATATATAACGACCTTAACAAGGACTAGGCATATTCTGTGAAGACCATCTTTACCAGCCTAACTGTCAAACGTGGTGAGAATTGTTGTCATTTTCCACTACAGTGTGATACACAAATTTGTCATACAGAACATTTACCTCTATATAAAAATATCAAGCAATCAATTAAGTTTGGTATAGGTTTATAAATCTTGAAAATTCATAACTAAGGACAGAGAAAGTAACTTTTTCTCATTCATATATTTAGAACAAATATACTATGCTAATATAGGCCTACCTTATAGCGGTTAATTTTCATGGATCATAACTTGGTGATTTTCTCTCAAAATTATCAAATTATATCTTTAAAAATCGTGATCTGGATGTAAAAGACTCTAATACACATGTCTTATCATTTCACGTATTAAATATTCGCGATCACGTTAATGTACCGTGAAATAGCGAAAATATTACTCCCCTGCGAAAAAATATCGGCTATACGAGTATATGTACTGTTTGTAAAACATGGATAACAATATTTAAGAGATACCTCTAATTGGATGTTAATGTTTATTTATTACTTTATCAAATTTAGGTCAATGTATATTACAGCTACCGTACTTATTCTAGTTATTTCATCCGTCATTTCATTTTCCTCTCCATCTTGACCGGAAGTACTTTAGAATACGCATTTCAGAAAATTTCATCGTTCTTTTTTTAACTTAAGTATGAAAGGGAAAAGTTAAATGTTGAGAAATGAAAATATTGGTAAGGAATGGCGCCTATTGTTTTCATAGTTTGTTGACGATCTAGGGAAAGATTAAGGATAACAAAATGAAAGTGATCAGAGATGTTCAATTTAAGATGCAAGATTTGGTAAAATGCATGAAAATGTATATCAAGTTTGTCATGAAAGAGAAGAGCTGGAGCAAACTTTATCGAACGATTGTAGAATTCTTCATATCGAGAACGACATCTTCATTTGAACGGAAAGTTATTAAAACAGGGATTTAGACAATGTGTTTGTGACTGTTGTGCTTAATGTCTTCAATCTCTTTCAACTAAAAGAGCAGGTCACAGATTTAATTCTCTTTTGAGTTTCACGTAATGATGAAAGAACATTACCAAAGACATCCCAATCTCTCCTTAGTGATAAAATTACAGAGTCTAGAACAAGTCCTATGGGGTATTGATTTAAGTCATGTTTTATAACAGACATCTCGTGCCGGTAATTGGAGTTTGTGGTGAAGGCGGCGTATGTCCATATATAGACACGCTGGGCAACGAATCTATTTATAATCATCTTACACACAGTAGTGTATGTGTTGTAGTAATGGTTTGTGGGATTAGGTTAGAGAGCGTCACCGCTTTACAGCCGTGTAAAAATTGTAAGGTAGATAATCCAGTCACTTACCTAGCAATATTCTACTGGTACAAACCTTTAGCCGTTACAACCTAGCAATGTTCTACTTGTTACAAACCTTTAGGAAATAGGGTTCTGTTACTACCTAGCAACGTTCTACTTCCGTTACAACCTAGCAATATTCTACTGGTACAAACCTTTAGGAAATAGGGTTCCGTTACTACCTAGCGATGTTCTACTTGTACAAACCTTTAGGAAATATGGTTCCGTTGCTACCTAGCAATGTTCTACTGGTACAAACCTTTAGGAAATAGGGTTCCGTTGCTACCTAGCAACGTTCTACTGGTACACAAACCTTTAGGAAATATGGTTCCGTTGCTACCTAGCAATGTTCTACTGGTACAAACCTTTAGGAAATAGGGTTCCGTTACTACACATTTACCTATAGACAGAACCGTGTTAAAATTATTTATTGCAATTATTATAGGGCTGCACAAGAAAGAACGAATTTTCACATCACATCCCCAACAAAGTCTTTGGAGGAAATTCATGGTGCTCTCCGTTTTGTGTCTTTCAGGTTTTGTTTCTGTGTAGTTTCTATTCTTGTCCCACAAATTTTAATCTTTCAATTTACAACATCCACAGGTCAGTGGCTGGGCAGCTGATGCGAGGGGAGACAATCCATGCCGAAACTTACAATTGCGTGACAATCTACTTCAGTGACATCTGTGGATTCACGGCCATGTCCTCGGAATCCACTCCAATGCAGGTAAACAAACAAACAAACATAGAGTCCTCATAGCTGTTTAGAAGGATGTTATATCGAGAATCGGTCTCTACTTCCACCGACGTAGATGCTCCTTATCAACCAATCAGAACTCGAATTTATAGTCACGATGACTGAAGGATGCCAACAACAATATCTTTGGTTTACATTGTCAATATGATGTTTTTCTTGTTTAATATTCTTTTTATGGACATTCCGTTACGCCATCGACGGATAACATTTCACAAAGGTTTCATTTAGAAGCAACATGCATTCGCAAAGACATCCAATTATCATTTGGCTATTTGGGCTTGTTCCAAGCAATAATACCACGTAGGGGATACAATCCGGTGCTTTACAGAGTAATTACAAGTCTGTTTCAAGAATGATGTTTTGGCAAAATAAATAAATGCTGTGATTTTATAAATATGTTCGGGTGGCCATCGCCAAAACCTTTAAAAGTGATATTTGTCCTGAAAAAGACTTACTTGCCTTATTTCCACCAAATATTGTGTAGAATTGCAAAACAACTTTGTGGTAGATAATATAGACATTGTTTGTGAATACCTCATCCCATTACATTGGTTCTCATCCTGTTTACGTTTAACAGGAAGAGGAAAAATGTAATAAAGGTAGGCTTTTCTAGACATAACACTTGAAAATTGATTTTTCGTCTCTTTTTAGGTTGTAGCATTGCTTAATGACTTGTACACAACGTTCGACTCTGTTATAGAAAATTTTGATGTATATAAGGTAAGTTAAACAAAGAATTTTAAAGTGGTACGTCATTTTGCATATGAAATAAAACGTTGAGATGGTCATGATTTGGGGTCAGTGAAAACGTTTAATTTAAGAGAGTTCGAATTGATAAATGATATAACAAAAAATGATAACCATTTATGTGAAATATGGGTTTATTAATGTCAACAATTTTATGATTGTTGTTTTGTCTTATTAATGTGGTTTTAAATTGACGAATGTTGATTAATATCACCTGTTATACAATGCGTGATGTCATTCTAAAACTGACGTCACAGTAGTTTAGGCATTACATGTTTGTATTTACTTATTGATGAGGCAAACATTTGACAGAAATATTGTGTTTCAAAGTGTATTTATAGATTGAAAATTTACTATAAAAATACATATTATGTAATGATAAGTTGCTAGCATTTCATTCTGTACTCTTGCCTCTAGGTTGAAACAATAGGAGATGCATATATGGTGGTGTCCGGTTTGCCCGTGCGCAATGGAAATTTACATGCACGTGAGATAGCCCGGATGTCGATATCGTTACTGAATGCTACGCTGTCTTTCAAAATTCGTCATCGACCAAACGAACAGCTAAAACTACGTATCGGTATACACACGGGTAAGATTGCGCAAGAGATGATATAGAATTAGATACAGTAGATCCAAACAATGAAACAAACTGCGTCATACAGCTGTTTCATCCTCCTAGGACTCGTCAGTGATGCTACATCATACAGCTGTTTCGTCCTTCAAGGACTCATCAGTGATACTACATCATACAGCTGTTTCGTCCTTCTAGGACTCATCAGTGATGCTAAAGGCTTAAATTTCGAAGCCTAGGAGGCGACTGAGAAAAATCCAACGACCAAGAGGAATGTCACATATTTTGCATCGAATCTGTTAAGATATTTTGTAATTGAATAAGAATGTTACGCTTATAGGTAGTGTTTTAAGATATAAGATACTATCAATTTCTTTTTCTGGGCACTGTTGTTAAAAGTTTCTTTTCTTGTATTTGATTTTGGGTACAATTTTCTGTGGATATAATGAAGGACGCTTCTTTTCTGTCCAGATTTATTCTTAATGAAGTCTATCACCCCTTAATTGGAAACTTTATCATAGTTTCTATGACAACACAAGTAGCTTCGTTTCGTAAGAAATTAACCATATCATGATTGACTCATCTATTTGGACGATATGAGATGTATATTTATCTCCCTAATGTGTAGGTCCGGTGGTAGCTGGTGTCGTTGGTCTAAAGATGCCTCGATATTGTTTGTTCGGAGACACGGTAAATACAACGTCCCGAATGGAATCGAATGGTCTCCGTAAGTACATCTAACCATCATCGTTGTATTATTTTTATTACACGCCAATGTGAAGATAATTCAAACAATAGTATAAATAAAAGTATCATATTTTTTAACGGCTAGTCAATACAGAAAAGGTCATTAGGGTCAAAAATGTTAACAAAATAGGTTCATAACTGAGATCAAAACAACGAAAATGTATTAAAGGCGAAGTGAAAACACACATATAAGCTTTAGAAAATGGTCATAGCAAAATCTTCGAAAGCATACCGAGAGCTTTCAAAAATTAAAAATTTTAATATGGTTTTTCTTTTATAAAAAAGGAGTTTAAGATTTGTCATGTTATAAAAATATCCCTGGTAGGTTGTAAATCAGACTAGCTTAGGATCTGTAATTATAATCTGTACACCTCAGATCTGCTTGATAAATGTAAATACTAGTTGAAATAAAATCTATTGATGCAGATTTCCTATGATATTACAACTTACACCTTGATCTATCCTTATATGTGTTTACTTAACGTGTTAATGAAATAAGAATATGTCAAATTCACTCGATTTTCAATATTATTCATTCGTACAATGTGTTTTCATGTCCTTCTGTAAGTAAAGTTAGATAACCTTACCTGATGTGCAGGCAGTCGTATGTTCCAATATTTCCATATGTAAATGAGCATAGTGTTTTTTTCTATTTATAGCTTTGAGGATACACGTGAGTCCCAATTGTAAAGAAGTACTGGATACATTCAACACGTTTGATTTAGAACTACGTGGACCTGTAGAGATGAAGGTGGGTTGTTTCACCCAACAAATTTGTTTTTTATGTTCTTTGCCACATGTGACCATGCTACCACGTCCTCCGGAGTAGGGTTATGTCCCTTCCGTCAATAACTGTATGATATGATTTAAATTTCATAGCCTGATAGCTGCTTATAGAAAATAATAGTGAACATATAAGGGCAAAAGACATGAAACTTCTGGTAAAAAAAACATAATTTGTTAGAACCACACAACCTGTCATTGTAACGGATTATCACGTGTGAATCACATGAATCACACGTGATATTATATATATATATGTCATAATATTGACCATGAAGAGTTTCCCCAAGCGGAAAAATGTAACTTTTCTGAGTTTAGTGGTGAAAATATTCGTCAATTTATTTCATTTCTCGTGAACTTTTATGAAACTCATCTCGAAATTATTTGAGTTTGCTTGCCAAGTCTCGCAAAAATATACATGAAATTAAAACTCATTTAAGATCCTTTGTCACGTTTACATCTGCTATTGTAAGAAGTGTTGAGTCCTGCGTTGTTCCTTTAAACTTCAGCATATATTCATATATTTATATCACCTAACCCATTCTGTGAAAGAAAATACAACCTGTGATATTAGCTATTCGTCCTACGACTTAAGTTTACATAAAAAAAACTTCCGAGAGCTGTTACATAATCATGTCCTATTACAGCGATGTTAGCGATTTGTGACCTCAATTAGAACGTCCTTAGGACGTCATATGAGTTAAGTTTGTTTAAACACTTGATCACTTGGCAAGAGCTGTTACGTCATATGGCTTATCCTATTACAGCGAAGTTACCCATTTATTACATGAACCTTTTCGACATTGTCATATAGCCTCAGTTGTGACGTCATTATGACGTATGACATTTGAATCAAAACAACATGTTTTATGCTTTTTTCTTTGCTTTCCAGGGTAAGGGAACTGTGATCACCTACTGGCTCAAAGGAGAACGAGTCCAGACTAGTCAAGACAAGGAGAGCATCATTTAGATAAGCCAATGACAGTGTACGATACAGAGCACTTAACCCATAGAAACCCTTGTTGCATGCGTGTTTCTGGAAATGCTCCTTACTGTTGTGATACGTAGGTTGACCACTAAAATTACGAAGATTAAATTTACAGATGTTGACTTATGATGACATGTGGCTGTTATCAACCAATGGAAATACATATCTTAAAGCACATCAACTAATGAGGAGCCAGGACACATAATCTGCTCGACAGGATGACATATAACAATTCAAAAGGATTGTTAAACATTAATGGTGACATCTGCTAGGGATACAGATAGGATAAATGTTGATAAGTGTTCGATGTGTTACACTTAATGGGCTTGACGTTTTCAAAGCCATTCAAATCAGTTAATCAGTAAACCAAACCGGAAGCGGAATTTCAAATATACCATGTAATTTATTATTCCTAACGGCCTTCCAATATTTACAAGTGTTTTCGTGTTAATGGTTGCAATGTTGTTAAGAATTACTTTATATTATTTTGTCAGTTGTTGGTGTATTACTAAACGTCAAATTTATTGTTATATTGACTCTATATGTTTGACAATATTTGACAAAGTTTTTTATCAGATGTAAATAATATAAAAAGGATACTTTGCGCGAATTATTTTGCTTATAGACCAAGGAGAAATGCTAGTCCATTAGACAGAAGAACACGTGTCCATTAAAACATATGTATCAAGAGAATGGTTATAAACATAGATATATGTGTGTATGTGTGTGATATACACATAATATAGCTTAACGGTTTTCGAAAATCAAAATAAGCACGATACTGATAAATAATGGAAATGTTTAGGGTTGTTTCAAATGGTTGAAACGTCTTAAACAAAATATTTTCAACTTTGATATTTTATAGTCTATAGCATATAAGTACATGTCATATCTGAAGGAGGGAGAGCTAATGTGTGCCGTGGGAGAGAATGATGTCCCTATTTAAATTGAATGAGGAATAGTGTTGTTTAAATTAGTGATAATAATGACATGACTGAGGACCTTATTGGAGCTACGGAGATCCACGTCCAAAGTTCCATTTTACAATTCTGCGGAGAACATTACCAGTGATGAATTAGAGTGTAGTTAAGTGGTTTCCGGATTGGAAAGTTGTTCTGTTTGGGGACTAAACCGTATCAATATTACAAAACTATTGTAACAGAGGAACGACAAGAAGGCAAATATTTAGGGTCAAGAACAACTGAATGTGTGATTTAAATTCATATTCCTGGAATATTTATCTGCTTAACCGAATGCCTAAATATGGTCTGGTGACCGGTTATTTCCCGGCTAAACCCGACTGCCTAAATATTGTCTGGTGATCAGTTATCTCCCGGCTAAACCCGATTGCCTGAAAAGTGTTTGGTTACCGGTTTATCTCCCGGCTACACCCGACTACCTGAAAAGTGTTTGGTGACCGGTTATCCGTTAAGAATTGTATGTCTTAACAGACCACAAAGCAATGAGAATGGACAAAAATATTAACAGGGAACTAAGCAGGCAGGTAAAACAAAGAATTGGAAAATTCACGTTTGGATTCGTGTTATACGGATCAAATGTGTGGCAATGCTTTACAACATGCAACTGAAATATATCAGACGTTATCTCTATGATTCCAAATCAATGTCATATTCGTGGACATTGTTGAATATTAACTGCTGGAAAATGCCTCCAGGATGTGTCTTTGACATGTTAAAAGTGATTCATGTGTATAACGTACTGCAAAAATGTATCTACGACAGGTTTGTTATAATTAATTGAAGACTGATAATTGGGAACTGACCAATGAAAACTCGTTGTACATTGGCTCTGTTATTCTATGTTGTTCTGAGAAACAGCATGTGATAATGAATGTGGTTGGAATATCTCCTGGATAAAATGAAACCAGAAAGAACTTTTCTTAGGAAGGACAGTACAACGGACATGGATTTGTAATGAAACGAAGGGTCTATCGGAAAAGTATATTATATACACTGACCAATGAAGTTTTGTTTTGTGGAATATTATCATGTTTTGTTTTAACTACTGCGGTTTGTGATAATATAGAAATATAGTGATGTCTCTGATAATGTATTGTAGTTGTTGTTCAAAAATATGAGCATATATATAACATTCATATATTATATAAATGTCATGTTGTTATATACGTATAATTGATATGTCCGTCTAATGACTCAATTGAATTAGTCAAGATATTTCTTTTTGTGCTCGATATTTTTCCAGAAAAAATTCAAACTTTCTGGAAGAAAAAAATATATATATATGCTGAAGCCATTTTCATAAGCTTCCATAACACCACTATATTAACAACATTTGCATAGAAATGTTTTCGTTTTAAATAATCCAATGTTGATATGGTTTTGGTAAGTACCTATGATTTTTACTATCTACGGTTATCCAATGTCCTATTCCAATGTCTGGACCATATTGACTGTTAATTATCATTTGACCCTATTCATGTGCACTTGCATCACAATTGCCTTAAAGATAGAAAGCATATTTGTAGTTGTAGCTATACAATAACTTGGTTAAATAAAATATTTTTTTCTCAAATTTATTTTTTGCAAAACGGCTTCAACAAAATATCAAAAAATACGAACTCACTGATGTTTTAATTGCAAAAGTATCAGTTTAAGATAATATTAACAAATCGTTGTCACATTTGTGTTATAGAGTTGGAATTATGGTACAGAATATAATCAAGAGAGTGAGAGTCTTAATACATGTCAGGCCAGGACATCTTTTGAGTGTACGACATCGTGTAGGCAAAAAACTGTGAATTCAAATGTTACAACAACACTCATGATCATGTGTAATTTTAACAAACTTGTAATTAGTTTACAATGCAATGAACGGGATTTAGTTTTATTATACTCCCCAAAGTCCACGCTGCCTCCCATGGGTTAGTCTTGCTTTTTGAAACATATAAAATACAAAAACCATTGTATACATTTATCAACTGTTAGCTATTATAATTTGATTGACTTCCTTTGTTTTTTGTTATTTTTTCTGCGACACCTTAACACTGCTGTTTTGTCCAATTCTTCCAAATACTTCCTTGCTTGATATTTTTATTTCCATTTTTATTTGTCTTTTATGTACTGTGTGTAATCCAATTAAACCATTAATCACCTGATGTGTATTTCATGCATTCAATATTTTAGCTGTAACAACATAGATTCAATAAACGAAAACAAAAACAAAAAACATCGTAAATGCCGACATATCAAGGGAAACTTAATTTAAACTCTGGTTTAATAATAGACCAGAACAAAAACAGATCTAAAAACAAGTTTTGTACGAAGGTCTTTGAAATGTTTTTTTTTTCAAAAATGTTCCTGATGATTTTTGTTGACAACATCCGCCGTGTAGATTTTGGTCAATCCACGTGATCAATGCAGCGTGTCAAAATGAGTAGAAGATATCTAATGTTAAAGATGTTATAACGATCTAATACATGTATACCAAATTCTGTGTTAAATACATAATAGATTCGAAGTGGGAAATAAAATCACGCTAACTTCAAAAAGCACTCAGGCGAGTATCATGTAGACAACGAACAATTCTCAAATGAAGACTACTGTAACTTCGTGGTAAAATTTGAATGTAACCAAATTTCAAGAGAAGTATTTTAATGAAATTGATTACCCGCCGGCATGAAAACAATGAACCAATTGTTTGCAAACCAACGGATTTCCAGATTACATCATATTTTATTTGCGAAAAAAATAATCGAAACATTTATGGCCGAAAACAAGATGTTTAATGGATAAAGTAAAATGTATATGTGCCTAGGAGAAAAAAGGATAACAATATTATTTGTGAAAGCATGGACCACTTCATGTTTTTGAAGTTCATGTTGATTAACATCTGCATGTAACCAAATTTTGAAAAGTTCTCATCTTTCTAATCATACATGTAATACATTACTTACTGTCATCAACCAAGGTGTACATGGCGGGTGTCGTCGATGGGACAAGAATTGCTTACTCTTCCGAAACTCCTGGTATTATACTTATTGTACGTTTTGCAGGAGTCTCGGTGTAAATATTTTGGCCAAGATGTTTCGAGTTTGAATTATGACTATGTTGACAAGTTGGTATTTTCTTTTATTTTATCTTTACTTATAGCTTTCTAGAAGAAAAATACAGTCGTGTTTTTAACTCTTTATTTCGTAGCAAATGTAATCTTACATCCAAAAACCTCAATATTCATTTGAATTCATATCACATTTAATTCTAAATATTGTTTCTATACTGAAAGGGAGTTTTGATTTGGGTAAGCTTACGGCCATTCTTCGAAGGATACATTCAGGTTAGTTGCATTATATATAGTCAGGTTTAATTAAGTAAAAAATGAAATTAATTTTTTGTATACAAAATGTAAATCATTATATTTATGTTTCCCCGCTAAAATCAGATTTCAAGAAAAAAGTTGAAATAACATGTCAAAACTTGACAAAATAGGTCACAGTAATATTATTTTATGACTGGTCGATTGCTGAATTTTCCTCAATATTTGCATGGTTACAGAATAGGTAAAGCTGTCACCACTCCATTAAATGTACTGAGGAAGAGAAAAATAAACGTCTCATTTCAGGTGCGTGAGCATAGTATTGTTTTCACACCAGAGTTCCAAGAATTAATTGATCTGTACTGCCATGTGGGCTAACTGCTGTCATCAGTATTACAACGAGCGTGGGAAACACTATTAATATCAATATTCACATCAACGTGAAAAATGTTAGATTTCATTTTTTTTTTAATATTCATTATTTTTATGCATTAATTGATAATTGATAGTTATTTTTTAAACTTTCTCCTCTTTAAACTTTCCTGCTGATTGCGAGAAATCAATTGACTTGTTCTTTAACCATAGGTAGCATAGGGAAATATTTTTGTTATAATTAAAACAATTGATATACGATTTGATTTCATATCTATATAAGTTAATGATGAATTATGATGTTTATATCAAGGCTAGAAGTGTTCCATTGTGTTTGTAAGATTTCTTTTTCCTATTTTAACTTGTATATGAGCAAATACAGTTAGAATATAGTTTTGTGATTTATTTGTGTATTTTAGAATGTAGTGTTTTATAAACTACCAAGCCAAGTTGTAATTATAGTTTAAGGTTCAGAAAACTTAACTCTTGTTATCACACCTCACAAGTATACCTTTATGCACTTAAACGTTATATGATGACGTCATAAGTCCACCCACGGATATTGAAAATGGAAGAGGTCTTCCTATACTGTATTTATCGATTTTAATTTTTGTGAATATTTTTCTTGATGTTGATTACCTTCAATTATTCACAACTGAATACGTACCAGATTTTAACCTCTCAAACTGCACTGGAAATTTAAATAATACTTTAACTATTGACGTCATCTCGCGAACATAACCTGCATTGCACGTCTTTATCTTTCTGGTATTATTTCCTTTTGTGTGACCCTGTGACCGCGCATTGCGAGTTATTTGCCTTAAAATATTTTTTGTTAGTAAAATACATGGGAAATATATATATATATATACATGCGTGTGAGTGTTTATGCTCATCACGTGAAACGTCACGTGATATGTTGCCATACGCAACTTTTATTACTACAGGTCAAAGTTCCTATGAAATCCGGACACAGATTATCTTCGCCAGCGCACATAATAGGCTTGCATTTCGATATTAGATATTTCAGCTCATTAGATCTTGCACAACGAACCATTAACGTACTTGTTGAACATGGTAGAGATAAGTTGATAATTTAAAGTTTAGAGTTAATCTAAAATTAATAATTTCATATAAAGAATAGATTGATCGAGTCTAGTTAACATAATCTGTCAGGTCCATACATGTATCTGTATACACAATATATACATGAACACAGGTTGTCACTAAAATCAGCCTAGAGGATCAAAATATTGGTATAATAATGTGATGATTATTTGACATTATCAATAATGTAAGTTCAAAGGTATTACGATGACTATAACTCGAAGTAGTATTCTTTACGACTGTAAAAGAAGCATTTTTGTTAGCGAGATATTTCTTAGTTGATTGCTATGAAATACAATTATAATCCATATTTTGTCCAGTTGAATAATTATATGAACTTTTGAATTAGTATTGTACATTTATGTTTCAACTATGATAAATTATATTACAATTCTGAATAAAGCGTTTGTTCTTTATCTAGTTTGCTTTGATATTCAATATCACTTCGCACAACATGTATGATTGTACAACACTTCAATGATAAATAAAGATAAAGGCCAAACTTGTTGACTGTTAGGAGGAACTAAGGGATGGTCGAAATATAACATATTACAGAGCAGGAGGACGTACTTAGCCCAAAAGTCGATGCATGTAATCAATTTCGGAACTTCATGTTTACAACAAAACCAGTGGAACGTGTGTATCTTAATCGTGACACTATTCGAATGAATTTACAGGTGGCATGCAGGAAACAGAAAACTTCGAAGACCGCAGACATCAAGAAAATATAAACACCTCACCATAATCCAAATCCACATTCAATACAGAGTGACAAAAAAGAGCATACATCATCTTCACAAAATAATAAAAACAAGGTACAAATAATCAATAAATACTTACAGGGACAAAAGTGAGACTGAATGTCAACAAAGACATTTTTACCTATGTAAACAAAAGTGACGAAAGAAAACAAGAGAATACCAATATGTCAACATGATCATAATCTAACCTAAGATTCAATAAAACGAGGGTAAATATGGACAAAAGAAAGGTTACAAGGCGATATCTGAAAAAGGTCAAGGAAAATAAAACCAGATGTACCGAAAAAATAAGCGTCTTCTGCTTCATCGGCGACACTCGCCATGTAAACCTTGGACAATCCGAGTAAGTAATGTCTCGTTCTCAAACGAGAACAAGGTATACAAGGACAGAACCATCAGACAAACTAACGATCATCCAATACGTCCAGCGTCATATCGCACAAAGAAGTAGAATATGTCTAAATGAGATCAATACGACGACCATAAAAGTTCATATTAATTTTCATTAACCCGCATTTCCAGAAACCCTGTGTAATGAGTTTGCCCGTCACCTGATTACTCGCGATAATGGGAACAGACCCCTGAATAAAATATCAAGTACGTCCTGTAAACATCATAACAGACTCGATGTCAAATCCGACTACAGAAAGGTGTAATACTTTTTTTTCGTGATTTATTTGCGAATTTTACGATCGCGACAATTTTGCGAAAACTAATTGTCGATAATTATGACGGGATAATAATCATCAATTGTATTATGTATTATTGTTGTCAGCTTTGCTCCTTCCTGACATTAAATCCGTACGTCAAGATTTACATAACAGATATGGTATTTAATGTATTACATTCCATGCATACAAAAAGAGATAGGCATGCTTGATGACAAAAGAAACATCACCAATACATAATGCAATCTTTCTTTCCAAAAAGAAAGTACTGGCTAGTGATGCATTGGTATTACACTCGTTGAGACTGCCTATTAGTGATAAGGATACGGACCTTCCCCGTTTATATTTGATTCGCAAACTTCACAAGAATCCATATAAACAATGGTCTAATGTTGACTCCTCTAGCTCTTCAGCCAACTCTTTGTCGAAACTACTAACCATCATTCTTAGTACTACCAATCCGGCTTACAGTCTAATTATGATACTGTCTATTTAAACGAAACAAATATTATGTGGATTTTAAAAACTCCTAAGAGCTTTTGACCGATCTTATAACATTTAAATAACAAGAAATTACCTGACCACGTCTATCGTATACACAAACCAGAATTAGAAATCAAAGACACGACGCACTGTTCTAAATCAGCCGTCTCCTACTACAATGAAACTAGCATGGACAACTTTCGATTAAGCTGTATGATAAACGTGATAATTGCAGTCCCCCTGTCGTGAATTTTCTATTTCTAGATAGTAACAATTCTGCATCCCCTGTTTACATGTCGCAATTGTTGCTATACTCAAGGGTCGGTTGTTTCCATTACCGTGATTTTCGTGTAAGAAGTCGTCTACTGACCGACAAATTTGTAACACATGGATTTATTTGACATCGTCACCTTATTTTCTTTGATTGACAAACGTTTACTTGGTGGATGTTGTTGAAGAAGAAGACGCTTACTCTTCCAGAACACCTGGTTTTATACTCCTTGTAGTCTTTCAGGAGTCCTTTAATCATTATTTTGTCCATACTCTGCCCTAGTTTTATTGAAATTGGATTATGGTTATCACTGACAGTCCTAGAAGGACAAAACATCTGTATGATGCAGTTTTCTTCATTTTCCGGCTCTACTCTCTCATACTTTAATTCTATACTGAAAGGTGTTATTCACATGTGTGTCGCTTGTACATTCTTAGTATTAAAGACAAAACTCACTCTTTATATCAACTTACTAATACTTCCACAAAATCACAGCTCAATGACACAAGTGAAAATGGATAAGAAATTTGAAATTTGTTTTTCAAAATGACGGCGATATCGCTTATCGGATTGACAGAGAAAATAACAACACCTGGTAGCTACCACCCCGTGTCTACTTTCAGCCACGTTTTAGATGAATTTGAAATGTGGGACACGAGAGGAAGGTTGAAATATGTGTTGTTCAGGGAAGTCATAATTTCTAAAACCATGCTACAAAAATTGCCACCATGATGGCTATGACACAGTTTTGACGAGGCAAAAAAATAGCAACACTTTATCAACTTCTGTTCCTTGACTCTTCAGCCTATTCTCAGCTTAACGGCACTACTGGAACTTGAGAAATATTAAGTACGGTTTTAAAATGGTGGCCGTATTGGATAACACGTTGGCGCGAAAAATAACTCGATAAGAAATATCTCGAGATCATTTCAGAAAAATCTCAGCTGAAGTTTGATATCCATAACTCAATCCTATTATTTTTTTCAAAATTTTAATGTGATAGATCGTTATATTCACAAATTGTTATACACGATTTAAGTATTTTAAAGCGAATCATCTTCTCGAAATAAAAAAAAATGTTCCAGTTGTCCACACTTGACACACAATAATACCAAGATCCTCGGTTTCTCACCTCCAAGTTCAGGTGTATATATTGTTGTAGCCGTGGGCACAACATAAATCAAAAGTCTCATCACCGGCATGAGCATCTAAATATATTGTTTTATACAGAAAAGAAAAAGACAATTATGGAATTATAAGAAAAACAGAGTGTGAGTGGTATATTTTAATGAATAATTTTGAAATTGTCTAAATTATATAAAAAAATTACAAATTGTTTTGAAAAGGGAAAATTTATATAATTTCAAAAATCTGAATCAAGCTGCTAAAACATTGAATACACTGACCATGAGTACAGAGTCTTCGCGCGTATGAATTTTGTGCTTACCTGTACAACGTTCTAATCGCTAGCGATCTTAAATGCCTTGTCACCTTTCATCAAGGCTCGTAAGTGTTGTCCATATACTGTCAATTAGTTAAATAAGTTCAAAAGTTCACAGTTATTTGCTGAAATAACATTTCAGATTATTAATATTTTTTTCTATGTTTACGCATTTATACTTACTTTTATCAAGTAGATCTTGATGATGAGATTGTATTGGTTTGTTTTGTTGTCATGGTTGGAGAATATTTACCTTCTTCATCCACTTTTATGGTCGGTGGACCTGTAAAACAAATTGACATTCTTTTGATATTAAAGAAATTAAATCATTATTTTTTTAACATGGTCAATAATAAGATATACAAGGGCGAAAATATGATTTTTTTTAGATGAAAATGTATGCTAACATTGCTCAAAACACCGGGACCTGTGTTGTATCAAGTTTGGTCAGCTTTACTCCACACTACTATATATTTCTTCAACGTTTTTATTCCGAATGATACGCGGATCAGTCTTGTATTTCAGTACTATCTTAGGTGATCACTTCCATTCCTATTATACCTGATTTTTTTTTGTCTTCACTTGGGATGACTATAAAAGGTAATGACAATGCTGCGTTTGCCATTTTGTGCGATGAAGATGTCGATACAAGATGAAAACGACAGCCTTCTCGCGTCTACCAAGCATAATCAGTTTAGTGAAATAATATATTATTATATTTTTTTTATTAAAACTTAAAATCTGAAGGGAGTTTCTCATGTCAAGAAAATACAAATTCATTAATTCCCAGTATTTTTCACAGACAAAACATGATACTACAACGGACACATTTTGTTTTGTCAACAATGCTCGAAATTATTTTGAAATTTTCACTGTGTTATGCTAACAAGCCTGAAATAATTAGGTTTGACATTAAAGTGTACATAACGTGCTGGGACATCCTATTGAGTTGTATAACGTTTGTATTTAGGGAGTAATTCACGTGGACAGCTACCACATCGCCTTCGAAGACCCGTCCGATAGCTGCTCGTCGTGTGCAGGCACATAAGGTAAGTAACTTCTGTTTTAATTTACATGTAAAACACATGTTTATGTTCGACGTGAATGAATATCTTAAATGCGGATTCATAAGCGTTTTATATCTGGTAGTGAGTAAAGAAAGAAAAGGGTGCCAGTCCCTTGGCTAAATACAATGTAAGTAAATTCTTCCATCCTAGTTTCTAGCCATGTGCTCTCTATTGTTTATTGCGAGTTGCACAATAGACATGAAATTACACAATAAAAACAGATTGGGAAAACTATATCTCCAAGGTCATCTTACAAATACGCAATACCAATCATCACAATATCCTGTTACCAAGTGAATTAAGACGTGAAATATTCTGTGTTGATGTCATTAATGGAATATACCATACGTCGTTTTCATTGATTGCGTCAGTCAGAAACCGATTTTGATGTCAATATGGACAAAGATGTTATGAAAATTGAACAAAGTGGCTGCGTCCGTTTGATTTTGTCATTCTGAATTAAAAACATGCAAAATGGCACTTTTCTGAAATTTATGATATCAATACATTGAATTAGTTTTCGTTGCATAGGAATTTTTATGAAACGCGACTCAAAGTTTTTATTGTCGCCATAAATGACCACTTCAAAGATATTTAATAAATTCTCATCTGCAACGGAAACTCATTTAAGACTTAATTGGTGTTGCTACATTGATAGTAGGATATTTATGCGATAAACAGGATTCAACAAATTTTCTTTGGACAAA